GGAAGGATCGCTACGCCTTTGGGGTGATACCATTAAGTGCCGCACCGGGTGACACCTGACCTCGCTACGCCACTGCTCCATGCATCTCACTACTACTACTAGACACCAAAGTACGCCCCCTTGTATCAACACGATTGTTTATGTTATTCGCCTTTCATTAACCCCAATCTCTAATGGCTTTCCACGTGACAGATATTGGTCTAAAAATAGTAACATCTATCTTAACCAACTTCTATAAATAGACTTTATTATCCCAATGACAAAGATGTGCGTAATTAGTTGCCCGTGCGTTTCCCAAATACACGCAAGTGATATTAGGTCAGTGACCAACATCACATGAATGGGAGTTCACCTTAGTTATTGATATCTTAAGAAATATGCTCTACCCTGAGTCATATAGTTATTGATTTCTTAAGAAATGTGCTCTACCCTGAGTCATATAGTTATTGATTTCTTAAGAAATGTGCTCTACCCTGAGTCATATAGTTATTGATTTCTTAAGAAATGTGCTCTACCCTGAGTCATATAGTTATTGATTTCTTAAGAAATGTGCTCTACACTGAGTGATATAGTTATTGATTTCTTAAGAAATATGCTCTACCCTGAGTGATATATAGAGGATATATTGTCCAGTATATTATATGGCTAGGAATTTCTGACCCACGAACTTCTACACGAAAGTCACGAGTTGGAATCCAGTCAATAGAACATCCCTGAGTCCCGGTAACCAGTGTTTCTTCCAGACTTTTTTCTCTGGGGGGGGGGGGGGGGGTGACATTACGGGGGACGGTGGAATTTCTTCATATATTTTCTATATAATTTTCATTTCGTTCGGGGGGGGGGGGGGGGGGGGCTCTCTGACCCCCCCCCCCCCCCCCCCAAAGAGATGCCTGGAAGAAACTCTGCCGGTAACTAAGGAGGGTGTCACCCAGTGGCGTAGCGATGTCGGGTGTCACCCGGTGCGGCACTTAATGGTGTCACTCCCCCCCCCCTGAGGCGTAGCGGCGACCCTTCCCGGCAGTAGCGTACGCAGGGGGGGAGCAGGGGGAGCGGCCGCTCCCCCTCTGGCCATTTTCAGCAAAGTGGCGCCTTTTTGGAAACTTTTTAAACTCAAAGTTTTAAACAATGATATTTGTTAAAAAAATATTTTTGGTCGGCACATCTATGTAAATCACAAGATTTCTTTTCATGCAGCAATTAAGCATTATTGTACTAGTCTAGTAGCGTCTACGTTTACAACACGTATTAACAGTTGCATCAGTTTGCCATTCTAAAAATAACCATTATGATGCATTGCATTGTTTAAAAAACCTCTACGGGTTTTAAGATGGGTGTTAAGTTTAAGGCAACTGTATAATGTATTTGCTTACAAATAATTGAATTAGAAAATGTTATACATAAAACTTCACACATAATTACTCTATTACAGTTTGAATCGTGTGATTAATTTAAAAAAAAATTACAATACAGAAACAAATACAACTGATGTGGCACCTCTATTTAAATTTACTTATGAGCAAACTGCGTAGTAGTGGGGAAATTTTGACAACAACAGTTACAACCCCCCTCCCCCATGGACCCCTCTGTAAAAATAAATATTGTCATAATACCACTGCTACTTATTTAAATCTATTTCTGTAATATATATTTGTGTAATATATATTTGTGTAATATATATGTATGTTTAGAACAGTCATCTAAAAACTGACGCTATGTTCACTCTGAGTTGGTTATCTCCCCCCCCCCCCCACACACACACACACCTCACCACCACAATTGTGTAGAGCGACATTAATGTCACATCTAGGTATACACTGGGTTGGATGATTGACCTAAAGTGACCGGACAGTGGTGAATGAAGTTGAACACCCCCCCCCCCCCAAAACCCACCCGAACTGATCTGTTAAGTCGGCCTACATGTAGAAAAACGCGTAATGATGTACCAAAGTACCATGCCGCCAGAAAATTAGCTTTTTAAACGCAAAACTCTGTGAATATTGTTTTTGCAATTACCAGTAAAAATGTGTGTAATCAATACAGTGATCTAACCCATACCTATCGCTATGTTAAAAAAATGATCTTTAAAGAACACAAACAAGCAGTAGTTAATTAAAAATATATGATCTGAACTAAAAAGACCAAACTTTAGTTAAATGTAGGCTGTTATTCCGAATGTTTATCTATTCTATGAAAAGCGTGGTTTTATACAGACTCTGACTTTAAAAACTTTCATTATGCTGTAATACTTTAGCATTTATGATGACGATATATTAAATTCTGATTATAGACAAAAACATTTTGTAAACACGAATAGTGTTAAACAATTCCATTATATTCTAAAGTAATTATTTATTTTTTTGACATTTATAATAAAATGTGAAGATATATACATATTTATATTAAGAGAGTGATAACTTCCCCTATTTCACTAGTCTGAAATAATTTCCCAGGAATTATTATGTAAGAAAATTTTTTTACAAGAATTACAAAACAGATTGTGTTACTTTCATTGTTACTTTCTCGTATATACGAAGTATAGAGAAAGTATTGTAATCATGCAAAAAAAAAAAAAAAAGATTTTTACAAATCTCGACGTTTTTCTTCTCACTGATACGGAAAACATAATTTTGCAATCTTGTTCGTATGTCTGTGTGTCTGTCTGTGTGTCTGTCTGTGTGTCTGTCTGTGTGTGTGTGTGTGTGTAAACACGATAACTTGAGTACCGTTACAGCTATGTTGATGAAATTTCATATATAAGTATTTTATCAAAATCGTAGATCCGTATCAACTTTTGAGCGATTTCCGATAACCGAAAGTGGTACTTTTCCTACTTTGAAATTTTCAAAAGCCTATAACTTGAGTACTATTTCAGATAGATAAACGAAATTTCACACGTAAGTAAAAGATCTAATTCTCTACCTTCTGTAATATGTTGAGTCATTTCCGTTGAACGGAAATAGTAATTTACGCTACTTCCGATGTCTCAAAAAACTAATGTAAATTTTTAAAGTACTAATAATATTGCGCACTATTATGCACTTTTTTATTTAGCGTTCACTTGGTGTGCAATTCTTTTGTCTACGAGATTTTATTCTATTTTTAAAACTTTAAGTATTTAAAATGGATTAAAAATCATGTCTATAGCCCGAGTTCCCATCCCCTGTTATTTTAAATAAAAATATTCGAGAAAGTTTAGGGGAGATCACTCCCGGTTTATTTTTTGTTGTAGTGCGTGTATATATATATATATATATATATATATATATATATATATATATATATATATATATATATATATATATATATATATATATATATATATATATATATATATGTTTAGATTGATACAATTGTTGTTTTGTCGGCCTACTTTGTGTGTTGTCTCTTATTTCTTCAGAGTGCTACTTTCAATTTATTTTACATTATAGCGAAGTAATGACATACAGCTAGTAATTATATATATATATATATATATATATATATATATATATATATATATATATATATATATATATATATATATATGAATACACGTATATAGAACGTATTAAAAATTCGGCGCCTTTTTTGCTCTTTTCGCTCCCCCTACATCGAAAACCTGGATACGCCTCTGCTTCCCGGGGACAAACTTTCAAATTTTTCTATTTGCACCCCCCCCCCCCCTCAAACTTTCGATTTGCACCCCGCCCCTCAAGTTTTTCTCTATATAGTTTGCTATATGGTGTCACCCGGTGCGTTCCGCCCCCCCCCCCCCCCCCGCCCCCCTCGCTACGCCTCTGGTGTCACCCCCACCTCCTCGAACTGCTTAGCATTTTCGGTTTCGCGTCACCCCTCCCAGAGGCGTTGCTTAGCCTTAGCGTTAGGCGCTTTTGTTTCCCGCGCGCAGAAGGGGTCAACTGATGTTCGTAGAAATTGAAACCGGATGCGGAAGTAACAGCCAATGTTTACAAACAGGGACAAAATGGTGGATGTTGATTAACCATAGTCCTTAGTGTAGCTTATCAGCTGTGATATTTGTGTTAGATAACCGATCGAGCTTCTTTAGTATCTGTCTAACCATATCGTTTTAGTGTCTGATAATTTGTTAAATATAATATTTCTAGCCTAAAGGAAGCGGAAATGAACGATCTAAACATGAAATCGTTGGAGGCTAAGGTGGTGGTCTTGGGCTCACAAGGTTTGTCATTGATTCGCTCGTAATCTCTCTGACTCATTGTACTTTTGTGAGGATGCTGATTCATGTTACAGTTTTACATTATTGAATATGACAGGAGATTTTCGTTGCAACTTTTAATAATGTTGGCTATTTATTTTCAGCATTTTTGGTATCCTTAGTGGCCTTTTTTAAGGCTAATTGTAATAATTAGTAATTAGGGCCTACTAGCCTAACTAATTAATAATTAATTAATATTCTGGTAGGCCTAATCACCTAATCTATCGTTTTAGGTAGATATAGATCTAGAATATAGATCTACGTAAAATCGCCTGCGACTAGTAATGTGACAGGTGACTCCTTAAATTTTAATAATTATTTTACATTTTGAGGAGGATTTATGTTTTGAAAAATACAAAAATGTTTCTGTTTCATTTATGTAGATTTACCTATTTTTAAACAATTGAGTTAAAACTTTTCAGTAATAAATGAAGACTAGCAATGTTTCCAACAGATGCAACATTGCCTGTTTACTATAGCAGCCATCTTATGAAGTTTTTTTTTTTTATAAACTTATAGCGCAAGACTCAGGTGAAGCCACTCTAACTTACAGATGGCTGCTTTTTATATAGCAAATCTTGCTCGCAAAAACTGCTGTTTAAAGTTAATTTCTTGCCTATATTGATATATTTAGCCATTGATTTAGGTTTATTATTCATTTATATATGATATTTGACACAAATATATCACAATATACTTCTATTAAAGCCTTGACAATGAGGTAACTTTTTTGTACATTACTAGCAGCGGGCGATTTTACATAACTAAAACAATAGATTACCCTAATTATTGGTAATTTAATAAAGTTTATAAAGTAAAAATATAGGATTTTTATATGGCAATAGTCAATAGGTGCCTAATTATAATTAATTGCATTAGGCAGGGCCAAGCTAGTAGTACTCAGTAGTAGTAGTATTAGTAGTAATACTACAATTTTAATTTTGATATGTAATTTGCTATTAGTTCTATTCTATTATCACTATAATAATTTACTACTAGATCAAAGTACTATGCTTTGAGATGACAATGGGCGATCTGAAGATCATCTACTGGTAGAACGCATGCTTGCTAACCTGAAAATCATGAGTTTGGAACACAGGATTAAAATAATAGGTTGTCCCCTGACTGAAATGCCCCTCATGTCAAAACTTTATGGTGTGATGCACTGGAGGAGTATCAAAAGCCTGTTAAAAACCTATGGTTCTAGTAGCTGTGAGCAAAAAGATGATTAATTGCTCACATGTGCACTTCTGTTGGCTAGGCATTGAACTGTCACACAGCTTCAATTAGGCCTACAAAAAACTGGCAGCCAACCAAAATTTAGATCTATATTAATTTAATATATATATATAAATATAACATCCCACAAGAAATATATTTTCTGAATTAAATATTCAAAACATTTGGTTAAAATTTTCTTCTATGTATGACAGGTGTGGGCAAGACGAGTGTTGTCATCCGCTATGTTGGAGGAATGTTCAGTAAAGCTGTTAGCCCCACTATTGGAGCCTCATTCTTCACATACAAACTGTAAGATTTTAGCTGATTTTTTATTATTGTACTTGCGGGTTTTGATTAGAACTAAGACACCTCACACATCTATGCTAAAATTTTGTAAAATGTATACTTCTTAATGTGCAAATACAACACTGCTAGATGATTTGTTTAATTTTCAAAATGAAATAATAGTATCAATGTCATATGGAGTAACTTAGTCACACTTTTGATGTTTATTTTTTATCCCCCCCCCCCCCATCCCCCATATCAAAAATATAAAGCAAAAGGCTGGATGCTTCCCCCCCCCCCCCCCCAAATAAAATGACAATAAAAACTCCAGCCTTCTCCCACAAAAATTTACATACTTTTCTTAATAAAAAAATACTAAATGATTGCAATGTCACAATTTCCAATTTACTGCCTTCTCTCCTCTGCACATGATTTAAAACTAACCATGATTGTGTTCTGTCACTGCCTTTTCTGCTGCCAATCATGGCACAAGCTCAAAAAACAAATACCAACCGCTCTCCTCTCTCCTCCTTTGTTATTCTAATTTATAACACTAAACAACCCATGTTCAGGAAATTTTCATGATTTTATTGGTTCATTGACACAACGACTTCACTGCCAAAACATCGCCATTTTCTTCCCGCTCTCTCCCTTCTTGCTTCCTTTTTTAGCGCATGCGCACACCCACACTATATTTTAGATTTATCTCGCCTTTTTATGAAACATACTTGAAACATGCATTCACCTTACATTTGACTGTTACATGTTCATTTCTCAGCACACTAGAACAGTACAGGGTCAAGCTTCAGGTCTGGGATACAGCTGGTCAAGAGAGGTTCAGGTCAATGGTAGGGCCAATCATATTTTACTCATTTTTTTCCCCTCCTTTTAATGTTTACTTTTAAAATTAAAAAAGTCATCTAGTTTTTAGGCTCAGAATTTAAAAACGGCTGTGTAAGCTTATCTGTCCCCATGACAGAAATTATGGCAAGTGTACTCATTACTCGTCGAGATGGTCCAATTGTTTATCCCAGTTGAGCATTTAAAGTAGAGTTCATCTGTTTCAATTACCCCAACCTTGGGAATAGTGCCCTAGATGCACATCTTCTGTCTGAGTTGTACAAATTGTTGTTGACTGTTAGTCCATGATATTCTTACCTGATACAGGATTGATTACTATTAGTGCTTTTTGCCATCTCCTCTGATAAATATGATGATTATAATCCTCACTTTAGTAGCTCCCCTTGATATATATTGTTTCTCTAGAACCAAACTGGTGGAGTTAAAACATCATCTCCTAAGTTGCTTCCCTTATATATATAATATTTGATCGTTCTTTCCTTAGGCCCCTATGTACTACAGAAAAGCCAATGCGGCCATGCTTGTCTATGACATCACATCATTAGAAAGTTTCTATGACATTAAAGATTGGGTCAAAGGTCAGTATAATTCTAATGTTACACAGCTGTATATTTTGGCTCTAGGACTTCCCAGACATGCTTAATTTCTGCAAACCATTTGTCATAAAGGCTTTCATTACTTTTTTTTGGGGGGAAATTCTTTAAAATTTGTCGCAGTTTTAAAAAAAAATATTTTTATGCCCGAATACTTGTGCCCTTAAGTGAACTAAGCCCTAAATATTTTTTCTTGTATGTAACATGCAAAAGTAAAGTTCACTTTTCAAACCTGACGGTCTATAGGGCAAGTGAAGTAGAGTTCACTAGTTTGACCTCGGCATATGAAGAGATAGTATGGTCAGCACTATGCCCAGCTGCCTTTACTTTCCCTAACATGAGTTAGGTATCCATCAGAGTTGGATGGACTCAGGGACGGTCTACAGACTTGAACCCGGATTTGAACTGGAGACTTACGGGTTAGCAGTCCAGCTCTCTACCGCTAGACCACTCCGTTTCCGTATGTAACATGATCATCAATTTTTCTTTTCATTTATTTTTACAGAGTTAAAGAAAAATGTTGACACACCTATTGGTAAGTTTTTGCTTTGACATTTTTGTTTGAAGCTAAAATAGTGGAGAAATATTTTATTTATAATAAAGATGCTTTTACAGTAAATTATTTTTTTAAAGGATAATTTAAACAAGTGAAACGAATGTAATGATAAAAATAAGTCAAGTTCCCCTTCCACACCTGGTGGGGCACAAGGCTGGTGAAGCAGAGTTCACCTGTTTCTGTGACCTCTGTTTTACTAAGGGATAGTGTAGTCATCACTATGCCCAGGCACTTTTATTTTCTCCAGTGTTAGTCAGAGTTGGGTGGTCTCAAGGACCTGAACTCGAGACTTTTGGGTCAGCAGTCAAATGCTCTACAGTTAAACCACGTCATCCCATAACCACTCCGTCAGATAAAAGTGTAATGTGTGGACTTAAATCATTGTTGTCTTGTAACAACAATAACAGGCTTTTCTTGTAGAACAAACTCCAGTAACTCCGTGGTAAAATAGTGGAAAAAAAACCATGTCAGTCATATCGTTTCTCCTTCAGTGTGCTAGGGCTGGCTTATTAATAATCATTGCATCGAGCTAAGCTATATATATCTCAGAGTCACCATCTAACCAATCAGTTTCCTGTAGTGTCTCACTACATTACTTCAACCACCTACCTTATAGAGATCCCTAGCCACAACTAACCTTACACCTGAAGTTACTTTGTTAAAATTTCTATTTTATGGTGTGTTGTTTTTTTTGTGTGTTTAAATAAAGCATTTCTTTTGTTTTGCTAGTTCTCTGTCTTTTGGGTAACAAGAGTGACCTTGAAAGTGGGAGAAAGGTCAGCAAAGAAGATGCTGCAGAATATGCCTCTTCTATAGACGCCATTTTCTTTGAGACTTCAGCTCTAAAAAACACAGGTAGCTTGAAAATCTTTATTTTCAATTTTTAAACATAATGTTGGAATATCTGCATTGCTTGTGAATTAGTATGCTATTTTTAATAATTCCAAATTTCTTTGGAATATCATGTTAATTTTTTTAGTTTGTGGAAGTGTATTACATTAATCTCATACAGGCAGTAAGCTCTAATCCATGCATGTAATAGTAAAAAAAAGCTCTCAAATTGAATAGGATTTACTCATCGCAGACACAATTTTTTTTTCTCTTTAGAATAAACAGAAAATGGTAATTTAAACATTGCAAAAAAATTAAAATCTAAAACAAAATGACTCAATCGAAAACAAGGTTGTTAAAATTATTTAAAATATTAATTATTTTTATGTTTCAAATATTCTTTGTTATACTAAAAATAAAGAAAAAATTGCTTCGTTAAATACTTTTCAAAGAATTTGTTTTCACCTGTCTAAAACTGTCTCCCAGGTATCGAGGATGCTTTTCTCCAAGTGTCCAAGCAGTTGATTCACCTGTACGAGACGGTGCCAAACAGTGGGATGGGGTCTCTGGTCTCGCAACAGGCGCCTGACATGTATGCTCCTGACCACGCCCTCAAGCTGCCAGAGAGGAATGAGCCGGCGGTCAGTCGACCACAGGACTCTGCTTGCGGCTGCTGAGTGGGGTCAAGGTTGTACATAATCTTGGGGGTGGGTGTAGTGTGTCGTGCTGGGAGTGTGTAGTGTGTAGTGTGTCATGCTGGGAGTGTGTAGTGTGTCAAACTGGGTAGTGTGTCATACTAGGAGTGTGTAGTGTGTTGTGCTGGGAGTGTGTAGTGTGTAAAACTGGGTAAAGTGTAGTGTGTCATACTAGGAGTGTGTAGTATTACTCTGTTGAGTTGGTATGACTCTAGTGCATTCAGAAGTCTTAACACTTCAATCAGCCTAGACTGGGTTTATTTTCATACTATCAAAAATTGTTGGTGTATGCTGTTGTATGCAACATTTTTAGTATGCTGTTGAATGGTAGATATGCACTAAATGTTGAGCTTTTGGTATGCTGTTCTAAGCTTAATTTTTAGAATGTTGTATGCTAGACATTCAGTACGGTGTTAAATTAAAAAATTTAGTATGTGTGTATGACTGATATTTGGTAAGACATTTTTTTATCTGTGGTAATTTTGAAATGTATACCTTTGCTAAAAATGTATTCCTGATGTTTATTATTTCATTTGCCACTCTTATCATGTGTTTGGTGGGCCTTTATGAAAAAATATTTTATCAAGCATCAAAAAAATTTATAGTTTAAAATACGTTTCTTGAAATTTATGCATAACTGTTCTTAAAACTGTATGTCAGATTTTCTCATATTTGTAGTTAAATTACAACTGTTTCTAAATGAAAAAAAAATATTTGCAGATAATTATTTTCATGAAACACTTGTAGTAATTTTATTTTTCTGCTTGATTTTGGTGCCGACTGTTTTTACCTGGAAATCACAAGTGAACTTATGAAAATGTGATAACATTTTGAATTATTTTTTATACTGGATTGTTTGTGATTACTGCCTTGTGTCTTCACATCTTTAGTGATGTTTTTTCTCATGTAGCAGAGAAACTAAATGTGTCACTACTTTTGGATACTTTTTTTTTTAATGACTTTTAGCTAACCTCACACTTTTAAAGAACAAATAACAAGTAATTCATTCTACGGTATAATCTGTTTGTATTTTACTGAACTGAAATATTGTATCTTTCCTAGTCATTCTTAACAACTGGTATCAGATTGTCTGCCTATCATTTCCAAATATTTTTGTCAACCAAAGTTAACCACCTGTCCTATCTTGCCATTCAACTTTTATGAATCATACAAAATGTGTGTTTGATTTGAAATGTGGTCATGATTTAGTAAGGCAGCTTAAATAATTTGCCAACAAGTTTCATGTTAAATTTCAATTGGTGAACATAATTAAAAGTGCTGGACCTGGTTGTGAACTTTTTTGTATCATAAACCTATTACATAATGTGAATATATATACTTCCCCTTCACAAGTGAATTGTTGCATATAATAGATTATTCCAGCTTAGCAGATCCCATGTAAGTAAATTATTTTTATATAATTAATTACACAATTTTGTATGAATTTATCACTGCTGAAAGAAACTTTTTTTATTTAACAAATCAACTTTTTAAAAATCTTCAATATGCCTGCACCTTTATTCAGATTCTGAAATTTCAATACTAAAAGTATATGGAGGACTTGTAGGAAATTGGTTTAGGTAAATTTTAATTATTTAATCAAGGATGTACATATCTGTGGCGGAGTAGTTTTTTTTTTTAAAACCTTAAATCTCTGTTATTTAAAACATTTTTTTTTTAAAAAAGCGCATTCAATTTCTAAATTGTCAACACTACTGAAGAATTTTTAAGACAGTCTATAGGAAACTTTTACAGTTTCGTGATTAATGTTTTACATTACTTAAACTGTTTTTACCATTAAATCATAAAAAAAGTAAAATATTAATTTCAACGACCCAGAGACGGAAAATGACTTTTTAAGTGGTGTACTGTTATTGAATAATTCATATTTCACATATAAAAAATTGTATATCTTGTGTTAGTCTTTGCTTCTTTTATGTTATTATTAATGCAATTCTGACCACCAAAATTTGTGTAGAACTTGCCATGAGGGAAAAAATAATGCATTGTTTCTGAAAAAACATTGTAAACATACACCATTATTTACTGTAATAACTAGAAAAATGTTGGAATGATAGAAGAGGTTCCATAACTAGGTCTGTGCTTATTCCCCAGACTTTACTTGAGAAGACTATTTAAAACCGGGGTCAGAGGTCATGTTTACAGAGTCATTAGTTAAAATACAATATGGTATTTAATACTGTATAGAAAAAAATTACTTGAGAAACTGTAGGTCGTAACTATAATGAGGTCAGCGTGTGCTGATATGGAGCTTTGGTTACAAATTAAACCTTTTTGATTGGTTCATTACAATGGTTGTTAACCTGTTTCTCACCCAGTCAAATTCTCATTCATTCCCATTTTTCAATTTCTGTTTAGGCCTATCCACATCATGTTGTGCCTTAATGGTCTCTGCAGCTGGGGGGGGGGGGGGTTGTTCTATCGCTGTAGGCAACTTTATTACATCTTTGGTTCCATTTTGATTATCATTTTCAGAAGGCACCATTGGGAAACAAATGCCATTATAACTTTTAATTGGTGGTCATTTTTTTTTTTAAATCTTATTTTTTGCAACCATGCATTTATCATTTTATGTTTACTCTTTCGTTTTTCTATTTCAAATAGACATGTTTTTCTTTAATAATATACCAGCCCAGCTTAAAATGAATTTATAAATGTTGGAATAATGAATTGTGGTTTACAGAATAATTAGTATTATAACATTGATATAAACCAAGAATATATTTTTGTTTTTAAAAGATTTGAGTACCATACTTATATTTTTTTTAATTAAATTAAAGTAACTATCTTCGGTTTTTTATTTTTTTTATTTTTCTCTAAATCTTTTCTTAGTTTGGTATGTTTTTAAGCTCGGTTAAATCAACTACTTTCTATTTCATATTGCTTGTTGTGTTCACATAGAAATTAAAATTGTGTATCTTCTTTCTTTGTTTCACCTTAATAACAAAATATTTTATTTAGAATTCAAATAATTATGAAACTACATATCTTTCTATGACAATGCTAATGACTAAGTTAAATCAACATTTTATAAAAGAAGCCATTTACTGCTTAGTGTTTGGTAAAACTGTTGGTTCTGGTAGTATTATCTCCCCTTACTTTTCAGTGCTTTTTAAATTTTTATTTTTTGTGAATGTGAATTTTTAAATAGATCGAATTATTTTATTTTTAGAGGTAATTTCACTTTCGTATAGATTTTTAAAAATCTAAAAACAAAATCTTCATCTTCTAATTTTTTTTCCATAATTTTATTTCTATTCTATTTAACCCAAGTTTATGTCTAGAAACTTTAGGCTATTACAGAAGCACCAATAAGAATTAAGAGAAACCCACCAGATGTAATTTCCATCATAGTAGAATGTACCACAAGAGTAAATTTATGAATATAATATGAATATAATATTTAGATTGAGGCCCTATATTTACAATTTTGAAACACAGTTTTATTAAAACTCTGTTTCAAAATTATAGACGTGTATTGTTTTAGTGTGGCTAATATCACATAGGTCTCTTCCAGTTTATCTCATTGAGTGTTCTCATCTATATTGACTCGCTGTATTTGGTTAACATTAACCAGCTGTATTTGGTTAACATTTATTGGGTGTATTTTGTTGACATCAATTTTGCTGTAGGTCTATTTGTTAACATTCACTAGCTGTATTTTGCCAATACTGTTTCTTTTGGGAAATGAAAGAAATATTTTGTAGAAAAACGTGTTTGACTAATTCTTCCCAAGGCTGTAAAAAAATGTGTTGGACTAATCCTTCCTAAAGCTGTAAAAATAAATTAAATTGACTAATCCCTCCTAAGGTTTTAAAAACAATATTTTAACTTAAAGCCTTGCTTTATGTGCTTTTCCCATTTACCTAGGGGAAGTAATTTGAATTGTAATCATTTGATGTGATAGGAAGTAAAGAAATAAAGAAGTTCACCAGAGTTATCTGTTTTTAAATGATTTTACTTAAGTCTCAGTGTCAGAAGTAAACCAAAGTATCCCGAAAACCTTTGTAGAGGAAGTAGAGTTTATGTGTTTCTGTGACTCTGTATATGAAGGGATTAAGTGGTCAGCACTACTTGCAAATGTCTTTTCTTTCCTGCACTCTGGTAATTTGAGGGGGAGGGGGGGGGGTGAGGATAAGAAATGGCATCCAATTTCAGGACCGGCACAAGGACACAAATTCACTTTGGACTCACGGAGGTTCTAAATCTATGGATCAAGAATGGCCTATGGAATCATGCTTTGGCATTCATGTTGCCAATTTTCAGTTAGCAATAGCTACCTACCATTTGACAACACCATCTATACTGAAAAAAGTGTTTCCTTTTTATATATATTTTTTGCCATAACAGTAAATATAGTTTCACTGAGGAACAGTTAAATTACACTGCAGTGTTCATGTTTATTTACAAAACAACTTGATAGAAAATAAATCATGGTATCTATTTTCCCAACATTAGCTCTTAAGTCAGGGGTCTCCAAACTACGGCCCGCGGGCCGGATGCGGCCCGCGAAGTCCTCTCATCCGGCCCGCGGAGATCTTTTTGTCCACGGAAAAAACATTTGTTGGTACTGGCTGAGGAACTTTGCCCAGAAAAATCAAAGACATGCCTGGAAGAAACTGGGCCCCGAACTGAAATTTGTTTGTTAATGCGGCCCTCGGACTGAAAAGTTTGGAGACCCCTGTCTTAAGTAAATGAGTGATATCGGGAATGAATTTAAAAACTAATATATTAACAAGCTGACTATTTTTTAAATTAATTATTCATTTACTACAGAAAGTACAATATTACTAAAAGGTTAAAGCAAAACTAGCGTTACTGAATGGGTTATTCAATGGTGTATTGTGTTTTAAAGTGAACTGTTGTTTAACTTAAGTGTGAGCATCCACGACAGTAGGGGTCCATAAAAAAAAACATCCAGGAGTATCTCTAAACTTGGGTTAAATATATTCCACTGGTCTAAATGTATATTTTATGGTTGTATTCAGTGTCTAGAATCAGCCTGATCAAATTGAGTAAAAACAAAAATATGCCTACATCAAGTAATTCAGTAACTGAAATGAGAGAACACCAATTCTGAACATATATTAACTTTATTGATGTCTACATGCAGTTGAATGAATAAACAAATTTATTTTTACTTTTCACTTGTGTTAGATAATTTGAAAAAAAATTGAACATGACATTGACAAATATGAAATAGTAAACTCAAAACAATTCAGCACAAATATGACAATCTATGTCATAATTAAAAAAATAATATTCATAGTTTTAGTGTAAATAAAGCCATCTTGATTATAATAGTCATACCACAGTAAGTTCGCTTTAGTGTGATATACTATACTCTATACATCAAGTTTGATTAATTGTAGCTTGTTTTAACAATATCCTTACTAATAAATTTATTTTAAAATGAAATCGGATTCATTTATTTAATTCTAGACATAATTCAGTATGCTAGAAATTGTTAACTTTACCTCTAAATCATCTAATTACATGTCAGAAAAAAAATTGATATGCTTTATGATAGCTGTTATCTCAAAAAACAAACTCACCAGCAATTTAATCAATGACAAATCTGCTTTAGTACCAACTTTTGGACCCCTGCTGACCTGACACATTTCTATAAGACTGGTTATTGCCTGCAGTTGAACCACAGTGTCAGGCCAGGCTTCCAGCCAGGACTAGAGCAGCAAATTACAATAAAAAAAACTAAATTTTAAAATATTGTGAACATTTAAAAGTAATTTACATTTTTTCGTGAATATTTTTTTTTTATCTTCCTAATCTAAAGCATCTTACATAAAATACACGCCTCAAATTTTAATTATTTAGTTTTTTCCAATTCAACAACAAAAGGAACATATAAGAATAGGAAACATGAACTTATACAAATCAAGAGATATATAAATACATAAAAAAAAAACTAATGATGAGATGTTTTTCCCTCAACTGTTGAATCAGACAATTTAATTTGATCTGTACATTGGTAGTGAGGATGCTTAAAAATGGATTATGATTAAAACTCCAGAAAAGTTCCAGAAAATAAATCTGCAGATGTTTCAATTTTGAGTCTTAGTTAACAAAGCTTCACTACCAAAAAAAAAAATAATTTCCAAATTAAAATTTTAGATCTCATTAAGCTTTTTTTTTTTATAAATACATCATATATTATTATTTATAGTACAGTTCATTTTAAATTGTTGATTCCACAGACGAATTCATGAGACAATAAAAATAAACACATTTGTAACTGATATTTTTTGGTTAGATTAGAGAATAGAGGACCAAAACATACAATGCATTATCCCTTGTAGCAAGAACTCCCTTGTAATAAGCCATGACAAAAGCAGAGGATACAACAGACATCTTTTAAGTAGACATGTTAGCTAAATAGTAAAAAAAGATGATCTAACATACTCTTAATACGCAATATTGATCCCTGGGAAGTCCAAGCTCCCAAAGTTTTATTTCAAGTCACTATCACTCCAGATTTCTTGTATCATTTATTCAATGCAGTAAAAAAATAATGTTTGCCTAATGTCATGCATAAACTTAACCAAGCCACACCCAACACCAAAAAATCTAAATGTTATCCACCTGCCTTTAATGGAAACACCAGTAAATAATTAATTAAATTTAGTCATTAGCTTCTCGTTTATAGACTACAGATGTATATAAAAAATATTTTTTTAAAAAGTTTAACGATTTAAAGTTAATCAAGTAATGAAATTAAAAAAAAAAAGGGTATTCCTGTGTAACTTTACATTATGCTTGGAGGCAGTCAGTTTTGTCAACATGACAACTTGCTGTGGAAAGTACCATGAACAAGCTGCATGCTGCACTATCTGTGCCCAGATCAAGCGTTGGACAGATCAACTATTTCAACACAGTTCAAGCTTGAGATATATATATACAAGTACTCAGAGTAGCACAATATTCAAACCATGAAAGAATCATTTAAAATACACAGGAAAAAAATAACTTTTATCCATGATTTTAAATTTACATATATATATATATATAACTATACATATACATACATGTATGAATACACAAATATATATATATAAATATAAATATATATATATATATATATATATATATATATATATATATATATGGTGTAGTGAAGCATTACAAATACAATCCAATTTTTATAATAAAATGATTACCAATTTGTATTTATTTGATATTATGATTTCAATGACTTGAAAAACTGTATATAATATAACCATTAAATAAAGCAATGTGATCATTTTGTAAAATGCAGTCGACACCTGGATGAATTATTCAACGTAAGGCTAAACTAACCAGATTCACATCATGAACACAAAAAATTTTACATTCTATTCTTTTTAAAATAACATACTACTGATTATTTCAATTGCAAATTCTACTTGAGTAAATTCTAGTTTGATTTACAATCCTATGCAAAAGCTGAAGTGAAAAAATGTAAGTGAAAATTGTACATATGAAAGTTTGGTAGAAACTTTGACCTGTTTATTGCAAAATGGTACAAAATTCACGAACTGCCAGTGATGATATACATTTTTTAAATTAAAAACAGCTAACATAAGTTACTTTCTACAGATAAAAAAATGCAAAGTCAACAAAATTAAAAAACAACAATGATAGATTTATATTTATATTAACAGACAACTATTAAAAGTTTAATAAAAATAAAGGATATTTAGAGGATTTCACACAAACGTGAGTGATTTTTAAATGTAGGATGTGGTAAGCACCTATGATACATGACTGCCATGACTTTGATGGACTAACAATACAACACAATCTGTTTATCATGTGAAATTCAAATAAATATTATGCAGATATTCTACAGTATGGCATTTCTTAAAGAAGCTTGACAAAAATTACATTACAAAAACAGATATGAATGAAAACAGAAATATTACTTTGAAATAAAAAAGATACAAAAAAATGTATAGTAATATATATTGTAACAGAAAAAAGAGATCTTATTTACTTTGTACATTATATTAATTCAATGAGAATCAAAAAAAGATTTGTTAAAGAATTAAACAATCATATTTGCTGCATTAAGAACAAATACATGATTGTACTTTAATTCCTCTATTATTTAGGATGTAGCAAAGTGCCATTCAATAAGCCTTTCTCTGTTAAAAAAATGTTGAGATGCTTCTTGCCTGAGTACACAATGGTACTGATACTAGTAATATCTGATTTAGTACACACTGGTACTGATACTAGCACTGACTTAGTACAAACTTGTACTAATACCAGGACTGTCTGATATACAGTATGTGCTGGTAATGTCTGATATAGTTAGTACACACTGTCATATTGAGTACGGTACGCACTGGTAATGTCAGATACAGTAAGTGCTGGTAATGTCTGAATCAGTACTGTCAGATTCAATACACACTGCTATTGTCTGAGAGTGCTGACTGACTTAGCACATACTGGTGCCACCACTGTTATTGTCTGGCAGTACTGCCATGAGTACATTACTACAGACACCCAACCATGATGAGAAAATATTCAAACCCAGGTTAACCATTAGTTAACAAAGCTACATGTGTTGACCGAGTCAAACAGCCAGATCAATGTATATACATTATTTACAAAGAACCTAACACTGTAAAACTTGATTCCACTTGCCTCAACAATCTATGGATGTCAACTTGGAATGGCTTGACCATCACACCAGGGGAAAATATTTCAGCTTATAACATCTGGTACGTCACCTTCCCCACCCGAATTTTCTTGTAATGTTTTGAACGCTTCTGCACCTGTGGGTCCAGTTTGTCATTCCTCTGAACTCTTCCTTGGTAATTGATAACAGGTTTTTTAGGATGTACATAGACAATTGATGGGTTTGTCTTCCTTTGGGATGGATTTGTCTTCCTTTGAGATGGATTTCTCTTTCTTTGATATGCTGGAACTCTGGTGAGATTTTTGTCAATTTGTGTGCAATTCGACTCAGTACTGCAATGCTCTGGTAATGTGTCCAGATTTTTGTCAATTTGTGTGCAATCTGATTCAGTACTGCAATGCTCAGGAAGTATGGCCAGATTTTTGTCAATTTGTGTGCAATCTGATTCAGTACTGCTGGGTGCATTACAACTGGGTTTGATTATGTCACTGACATTGACACTGTCAGCACGACTTGACTTTTTAGCAGATTTGTCAGCTCTTCTTAATTTTTTATCAAACTTATCAGTTCTACCTGACTTTATAGTGGTATTTTCAACATAGCTGGACTCACCTACCAGGCTAGCAGTGTAGCTTGGTTGAATATTATCTACACAATCCACTTGATTTCCTTTGTTTTCAACCAGAGCTGCTTGGGCTTCACTTTTCACATCAGGTGACCCAGCACTGGCTGCACTTTTAGTGACGGACGACAGCTCGTCAGCTGTGCTGTCTTCTGACCTTGACCTTACAGCACTGGTGACCTGCTGTAACAGGTTAGCTTCTTCTGTGGCACAGATGCGGGTGGACCGAGTGGCCCTGGGGAACCCTAAGTTAACCACCGGTTTTGTAGGGTGGACATACACCAAGGGGATCCCAAGCCGGATCAGGTCGTCATCCGACAGGTCATCCACCTTGTAGAGTTTGGTTGGTTGAACTGACGCCAGTTCTGATGAGCCAGAAGTGTCTTTCCTCTTGTCTTTCGCCAGCTTTGAAACACTCCGAGTTCTCAATCCTTTTCTACTAAACCCTGGAACTGTATATGAACTATTTTGAGAATCATTGTGTACATGGGTCATTGAAGACACAGTGTACGGGAAGTTTTTACAAGACTTCTCTCCCAGTGGGTTTTCAAGGGAAGGGTGACTACCCAGTTCATCTAGCTGCCTCAGGGGCAGACAATTATCATCAAATGTCACAGTTAACAAGTCTTCTTCTTCATCACTCTCAGTCAGCGGTTCTGCTTTCACCTCAATGTCTATAGGTTTTTCATCAAACTCATACAGTGAAACATTTGTTCGCAATCCTCGTACTTGATTGGCTAAGATATTTGTGTTCTCTTCAGCTGAATGTTTGTTTAGGCCTGATGCACAGCTCCATGAGACTTCCGACAACTCCACTGGTTCTGTTTTCACAGCTGGAAACAGAGCTGGACTTGTGAGGTTTTTAGACTGCTGGTCTACAGTACACTTACCCTGAAGATCTCCATCATGAGAAGTTACATTTGTTTCAGGTGCTGAGGTAAAGTCAAGGGGCTCAGACTTGACAGCTGTTGCTAAGATGAAGGATGAGTAAGTTGGATTGTCTAGCAGGCTGTGGGTACTGTACTCAATGTCCTGTCTAGGTAGGACGTCTGTGCTACAAGAACCAACACCTTGGTGATGCAAATCTTTCTTCTTTGCACCAGCCTGCCCCCTTGTTCTTTGAATATTTTTAACATTCTCCCTCGTCACCTCCTCATGGTGACTGGACAACTTTTTGCTACCGTCTTTACAAGAGGTTTCCGGTATTTCTTGCTGCAGACTGCGCACTTCACTTATTAAACAGAGTGGTTTGTTGATCACAGAGTTTTTTCCCTTTTCTACATTGCGAGATTTATACTTTCTCTTTATTTTCAAATCTTGTGGGGTATCTACTGGTGACTTGTAGTATTTACTTGGCCTGACCACGTGTTTCCTTACAACCGGCATGGTTGGTTTGACAGCGATGATCTCCGTGATGCCGCAGCCGGTTGGGATTTTCACGGACTCGTACAGGTTTGTATTGGTGTGAGTTGATTTCATGGAGCTGAGGACTAAGTCAGGGGGGATGTTTTGTTTCGCCTCTGTTGACAAGGTTTGCTCGTGTTTTTTAGATGAACTAGAATGGGCGTCGGTGTTGATGGGTTTAGAAACATGGGTGGCCAAATGCCTTTTGGCGATTTTAATGCTCTTAAGCTTGAGCCCGCACAGTGGGCACTTCCCGTAGAACTTGGTCTTGCAGCTGGTGTTATCATTACCTGGGTTGTCCTCGTCCTCCCCGCCGTCCCCGTCCCCTCTGTTGCTGCCACTGTTGAGGGAGTAGCTCTTGTTGCTGCTGTGCCTGCCTTCAGACCTGTTCACCTCCCTGCCACTGATGCCAGATTGGTACGTGGTGCCAGAGCTTTTCTCCTGTGTCCCACAGGTCATCACCTTCCAGCCGTCACATGACTTCAGCTTATCTGGAGCTCCGGTGCCAGGGAACACAGACCAAGGTTTACCAGAAAACCCCTGAGTAGCTTTCAATGCTCTGGGAGAGTGGGGCTGGCTTGTTGTTAGGGGGTAGACTGCAAATGTAGTTAGATTCTCCCAAGTAAGCTTTGGAGAATGTACTTTGAAATTCCCCACACATTCTTTTCTGGAATCATTGATATTTTTTTGCTTCTTGAGTACAGTGTTCCTGTGTAAAAATGTGCTATGTGTCTCTTTTTTGCCCTTAAAATCCTCCAGTTTTTCTTGTAAAACTTTCGCAAAGAGTTTTTTATTATGGAGTGCATGAACTATCCTAGCAGGCAGCACATTCAACTGGGAGTTCAATTTGTGACTCATGTGTTTGAGCTCCCATCTCTCAGAGGCGAACTGATCCAAACACATTTTAAACTTCTTTTCAGCTTTGACCTTTGAAACAATTGGGCGACTGAATTTCCCAGACAGGACTTTAGTGAGAGATCTACACCCCAGTGGCTTGGTGGAAAACCTTTTCTTTTTGTACATGCTTGCGTATTTAAACAAAGGCATGGAACACTCTGTACAACAAGACTTGCTCCACTGGAGTTTTCTACAAGGTGATGCAAAGTTATTGCAGGATTCTTGTCTCAGACAGTGGCATGGGACACAGGAAATTCTGGCTGGTGAGAAACTGCTAGGAACATGTTCTGGGATTTGTTTACAATCAGTGTGTTGAGACAAAGTTGAAGCTTGGAAGTTTATGTTGTGATTGGTCCATGAATGGTCCACATCACAGTGAGAAGCTTTACCAAATAGACTGGGGTTTAGAGTTGACTGGAGATCAGACAAGAGGGTGTCCAAGTTGATGGTGGCAGTCAAAGACCTGCTGCCTGCTATAACATCAGCAGCACCATCAGAAGGCTGGCTGTTACCTGAGGTACTGGTGCCATCGGTGCTGGTGGAGGTGAGTGCCGTGAAGCTGAAGCTGTGGCTGGCAGCAGAGGGGGGGCTGGGCTCCGTTCTCTGTCTCCACTGCTTGTCGTCCTCATCCCCCCCATCATCTCTGGGATCACCTGGCAAATCTTCGGAATCTTTGCATGAACTTCTGCTGGGGGATTTCTTTTTTTCTGCCTCCTCTATTTCCTCAGCAGGGGCCACCTCTCCATTACTCTCTGTATGTAGATCCTCACCTGTATCCTGTACATTATTAGCTTCCATGTTCTCTTGGATGTCTGCCTTCTCCACTTCAACCGGAACTTCAGCATCTGTCACTTCCTCGTCTTGACAAACACTTTGCCCTTGCTCATTTTTCTCTTCTTCTGCAGTATGCTCATCTTTTTCCTCTTCCCCTGCATCAGGTTCCTCATCATGTTTAGATTCAGTGTTGGGTTCATCAACATCCATGGCCTCACTGCCCCTCTCCCTAACATCTTGACTATCCTGGTGTGGAGGGTCAGACCCTGGTTCACCAGCCTCATAACTCTCACTCAACTCTTGACCAGCTGAACCACTCAGCTCATCCTTCACTGTTTCCTCATGGGAAACTTCTACAGGTTTAACTGTGGTTTGTTGCTTAGAATCAGAGGGTTTCTCACTTTCATCCTCATCAGTTTCCATTGTTGTATCACCACCATTTTCATACCCCGCAGATTCATTGCCATTTTCTTCAGTAGTTGATTTCTTATGACATGGACTTTTAGCATCTATTATATCACTGTCTTGATTATTTTCTTTCTTTTCATCATCCACTTTTTCATTGTTATCTTTAATCGTTGAGTTTTTCACCTCATTACCTGTTCCACCATCACCATCGCCAGTTTCTCCAATGGACTTCAAAATGTTCTGAATTTCATCTCGGAACATATTCTCACCTTCGACCCCCTCTACACTTTCTTTAACAGGCCTCTCCTGCTCTGTGCTTTTCTCATCTCCTTCCTTGGCCTCCCCGCCTTCCAAACTTTTTAAGATGTCACTAATTTTATGACCCAGCTCCTCCTGATTACCCTCCTCCTCCTCTTCCCCCTCCGGTTCCGTCCAGCTGTCTTCACCCTGGGGGTCGGCCACTGGTTTCTCATACTCTGGGGTAGGCTTCATGTCTTTGGCATCTGACTCCGTGCCGCTGTCCTCCCTCTCGTTGCCGGAGTTCTCCTCAATTTCCTTGCAGGTTTTCTCAATTTCTGAAAATATGTCCAGCAGGTTGTCCGTGTCTCCAATGAAATTTGGGAAGGTCAAGGGCACACTTGGTGCTGTGGCCACAGCAATGGAGTCTCCATCACTTGTGTCTTCTCTCTGGCCATCTACATTGACCTTGTCTAAATTCTTACCAGCATCTTCATCTTTAAGATCGGACACTTTCTCTTCATCAGCATTGTTACTGCTTTTATTTTCATCCACCTGGCTTGGGCTAGGCTGGTTACAGTGGGACTCGCTATTTTCACCCTCGCTCGCCTCTGATTCAGAATTTTCCGCCAGACAGACCTTCCAGCCTTCGATGTCTTCAACTTCTAGAAGCGGGTCTTGACCACCAGCGTTATTCTCACCCTGAGTCTTGGGTTTCTCTTTGCCTGGGCTGACCTGTGCAGCCTCTCCCTTGACCTCGTCAATCCTGGTCAAGCAAACAGCTGGGGTCAAGCTGAGCTTCTTGTCCTTGGACATCTCAGCGTCACTCACTATCTCCAGGTCCTTGTTTTTGTCCCTGATAACAGCTATGTCAGCCACTGGGTTCTCTGCCTTGTCTATGTCCACAATCATGGCAGACTTTTTCACAGACTTCTCGCTGCTTTCTGGCGGGACCTCAACACTTTTCTTGGAGACTTTGTTTACATCCTCATCGTCGTCGTCCACAACAATCACTTCATTAGTGTTGAGAAATGGTTGAGGTGTCTTTGGAACAGCTGGGGTGGCGGCTTTAACTTGAGCAGCACCCCTGCCTACCACTGACCCCCCTCTGCTCATCTGTACAGGGAAGACCGCCCCAGGGTTGGGATTTGGCCGAGGCTGTCCAGCAAGAGAGACGTGTGTAACTGGGCCACCAACCGGAACTATTTTCCTCTGAGCACCTCCACCTCTGGCATTCATTGCCACACCCCCACGTCCGACTTGCATTGCATTCCCACCACGGCCCCGTTGTGAGGTATTGGCTGCGGCCCCTCTCTGAGAAACAGGGGGGTTGCTGTTCCACCTGGAGCTCTGGCCATGCAACGTGGTGCCATTACTCGAGCCAGACCATAAGCCTTGCACCTCGTTAAAAGGTGGGTTCATTAAACCAGGTCTGGGTTGATACCTCAACTGTCCTCCCTTGAAAAACAGCGTATCCGCCCGCCCTCTGCCCGTGTTATGCCTGGGTCCGCTAGCCGAGCCCCTGGACCCAGGAAAACGGGGCTGATAGCCAGGAAAGTTTGCAGCGTAGCCATCAGCAGGTCTGCCGTAGATAGTTTTAGTAGCCACAGGATTCTTGCCCATCTTGGTGGGGATGAGCTCACTAGTCAAAGACTGCAGCATGATCTCAACATATTCCCTGGACTCCTGCTTGAACCTCTCAATGCCTTTAGACTTGGCTGCCTTGGGGCTGGGCCGGCTAGGGGAGGCTAGTGATGCTGGGTTCCTCATTCTCTGGGGGTTGGCCAGTGTTCCTGGTCTTTTAATATTGGCATGTAGGGCTGGGTTAACACTGTTTGCCGGCCGAAAAGCTGGATTAGCCCTGGCGTAACCGGTTAACCCAGGACGCGGAGCAGGTGGGGGCTCGGCGGATGGACTGGGTTGAGAATTTGGTACCTGTTTTGGAGGCTGTGGAGGAGCCTTGGGTTTGGGTTTCGTGTGAGTGCCCCCTCGTGGGTTATAATCCTTGTCAATCAGCTCAGTTTTGACGGAGAGCTTGTCTAGAGCGAACCCCCGACTGGGCATTTTATCACCTGCACTTGTACTTGGCACAGGATCCGGGTGAGAACTGCTAGAGGCTGTGCTTGTCCTAACTGACGAGGAGCTTTCCGCGCTGGGTTCTTCTGTTTTAACCTGCATGTCATTCTGCCCTGCACCACCAGGCTCACCACTTAACCGCTCATGTCTCTGCTGCAGACGCAGCCCCCTGGTTTGTTTACCACTTTTGGGTAAAATTTCCATGTCGTCTTCAAGCAGCACGTCATAGTCAACGTATTCATACTTTGGGCTGGGCTTACGTGGGGGAAAGAAATCCCCAGACAGGGGGTCATGGGAAGGAAATCTTTTACCTTTCCATTTCCCTTTAGAAGGACCAAATGATTTTCTGCTCCTGCCTTTACCATGACTAGCAAAAGCCGCAGGATCTACAGTTAGTCCCATTTCTGTCAAACTCATCAAGTAGGCCTCGACCGCTGGGTCTTCATCTGGGTGTAGCCGTGGTGGTTCAGAAATGGCATCAGGATCATAGCGCTCAGGCATTTTTCTTCTTCGTTTTGCCTTCGGTTCAAAATCTGACCCCCCTTGATGGTCTCGGTGCAAGGATTCCGAGGAAACATTGTTTTTGTTTTCTCCAGAGGTCCTTGCCATGCTCTCATTAGACATTCCAACACCATTTTGATTGTAGTCTTCCAAGTTTTGTGAGGTGTCGTACTGATTAGAATAGTTGCTTTGGTCTCTTGAGTCCTCCTCTTCTTCAGGCACCTTGGGGGTTAAAGACAGGCATCAAAGAACAAAATCAATGTGGGTTATAAAAAAGACATATTTTGCAATGAAAAATAGTGGCATACCCTAATTTACAATGTTCATATCAACTATATCCCCTAAATTTAGTGTCTGATCATAGTTTGTTTGTTGTAAATGGTTGTAAGGAGTAAAGGAAAACATTCGACATTAAAAACATCCATTAAATAGCTGTGTTCAAGCAGGTCTTTTTTATATAATCTTTAAACTTACCTGTACTGCCATGCGATTCTGAGATGAGTTCAAGTGCTGGCTAAATATAGCTGCATCAGCGAAGGTGAGTCCACACAGTGCACATTGACCAACCACTGCAAAGTTCTTTTCACTCGCATGAATGCTGATATGTGTGCTTTAGAAGAGAAGATGATAAGTTTATTGACAGGAAAAGGAAAATTGGAAGAAATGTTGAATACTGATAGCTAACTCTACTCAAAGACTAACACACTAGCAGCATAGAACTCAATGTAATGTTTTATCTAGACTTAACTGGACTTATGAGAGAATCCAGCTTGTTTTACTTAATAATTTCTGAACTTTTGTCAACTAAATAGTTTTGGTGTGAGAATATTTTCCCACACCCCCACACATTTTGCCACCCCATGTTGTCAACTAAATTGTTTGGGTGTGAAAATATTTTCCCCAGACCCCCCCCTGCACATTTTCCCACACAACCCACACATTTTCCCACCCATTTTGTCAGCTAAATCGTGTAGCTTTGCTCACCTGAAGTAGAATGGGTGTGAGAATATTTTCCCACACCCCCACACATTTTGCCACCCCACGTTGTCAACTAAATTGTGTAGCTTTGCTCACCTGAAGTAGAATGGGTGTGAGAATATTTTCCCACACCCCCACACATTTTGCCACCCCACGTTGTCAACTAAATTGTGTAGCTTTGCTCACCTGAAGTAGAATGGGTGTGAGAATATTTTCCCACACCCCCACACATTTTGCCACCCCACGTTGTCAACTAAATTGTGTAACTTTGCTCACCTGAAGTAGAATGGGTGTGAGAATATTTTCCCGCACTCCCCACACATTTTCCCATCCCCTGAACACACGGGGTTGTCTGAGAAATCCGGCCCTGGAACTGCGTCATCCATATCCATCTCACTGCTCATGCTGTGAGCAGCCACATCCGACCCAGACATCTCTGTCTGTATGCAGCTGGAATTTAAAAATCTGTTTTAAATATGTACAACTGGCTTTAAATATTCTCAAATTTTTATTTTAAAATTACTACTATTTAAGTAATACATTGTTAGTCTCATAAAGTTGCTTAATCCTTACACTGTGTTTACGCTTGCAACATGTATACTATACATGTCTAGAAAAAAAAAGTTAATGTCATATCAAATATTTTCCCTACAGAACGAGCACACATTTTGTTGAGTAACAACCAATCTCTAGTCTACTGAGTGTAAAAATGTGCTAGGTCTAGACACAACTGAATCCTTGGACAACAGATGTTACACTTCCTATTGCACTACATTGGAGGGTGGATAACAGGTGGATAAACACAATTGTTTTTTATATAGCTTAGATTAGCAGTGAGGAGACAATTGAAAATCTGGTGTATTAGGATACAGTTGTTCAATTTGGCCAACTTATATATATATATATATATATATATATATATATATATATATATATATATATATATAATATGTGCATATTAAACTTGACAAGGTAAACTTAGATAAACCTTTTAGGCTGTATCTTTGTATAAACATTTCATCAACTTTTGTTTTTTTTAATTTATTATTAAACTGTAGGCAGTAATTAAATTGGTATAAGAAAAGTTGAATTACTCTTTAACTTTCAAATCTCTACATATAATTTATATATCTATATATCATATATTCTGGGGAACTGGATTTTTAAAAAAATCAGACTAACTTTATATCGAGGGTATAGAGGACAAATGCAGTATGTCCACTTTTAGGTCAAATTGACGTACATTTATACTGATACTGTAAATAATACAAGCTACAAGAAAACTTATGTACAATATCAGAAAAGTAGAATGCAAATATTTTATGAATGTTTAAACATAATATTTTGCACTATTTTAATATTGGAATGAGATTTATAAACTCATTTTTCTAGAGATAATGTTTTTTTGGACATTCTGCGTTTGTCTTCTATACCCTCGATATATTCTAAGGAACTGGATCTTTATAAAAATTAGACTAACTAAATGTGTTTTCTTTTTTCCACTTGTAAGAACCTTAAAATGCTACTTAAGTGTGTAAGGAATTCCAGAAATTGATGCCAAAGTAAAATTTATTACTGTTTTTTTTTACATTACAAAAATAATTTGGCATTAGATAAGGTACAATAAATTATATTATAAATTATACCTAAATGCCCAAGCTGTAATAAACTAATCTGAATCTAGAAAAAAATTCATGAACTTGAATGAAGAAAATTTCATGAAAATAATAACTTGATTGAGGCAACAACCAACTAAGCCTGTCCATTTTGTCTGCCATGTATTTGAATGGAAGATCTCTGGCTGACAACACATTAGTGTTCAACAGCAGTCAATGGGATCACAAAAACAATCTTCAAAGGTTAACCCACACTAACAGATACAGCATGACAGACAGTTAATAAATAACACATTTTCTAGGCTACTGATTCATTTTGGTAATTGAAATTGGTATAAAATTAAAGGTAAACGGTAAACAAATGCTGTTTTTTTTTATTATTTAAGTTACCTTAAGCAATGAGGTTAGTTGACAACCTGCCCCTTAAAAAATTACTTTAATACAAACTGATGGTTCTAAAATGATGTATGTTTGTAAATATGCTGACAAAAAATATCAATAAAATTAAGCTGCAACTGTTAAAGCAAAATAGTCCCCATATGACTTACCACTTTTTATTATCTGCAGTGGCTATTACCATTATTTGGTTTTAAAAGGATCACAAGGATAACATTTTATAGAAATGATGTGGAATAGTAATATTTAGAAAAATAGTTAGATAATTATTCATATTTTAAACATGCATGTCATCCGAGAGGCTTAAGAAAATTCCAGCATGGTTGAAATGTTAGGTGGCTAAATGAAATAAAAGCTTTAATGTTAAAATTTACAAGATCTTACACTGCGGTATCAAATAGTATTATAAGAATGCAATATGGAGTTGACACTGATGAAAATAACATTTTTAAACTAACTTTGTGCTTTGTATACTTGTATTAATTGGGAAAAAGTTAAATGTTAACTAGGAGTCCACCCACCAGCTCTGGTGGGAACCTGCCCCATGACAGAGAAACAAAGGCTGATGGACATAGTGCTGACCACACATTCCCTTTGTAAGATGAGGCCATCACAGCAGATGAAATCTACTTCATCTGGCCCATGTGTGTTGGGTGCCGATGGAAAAGATGATGATGAAGATGACTTAGTAAGGGGGTGGTCGGGGTTCAAGATTGAAGAAGGGGTGAACATAGTGAGTGAGCAGGTTTTACGGTGCAGTATACCTAATATTTTAATTGGCTATTTTTCTGTATGAAATTCAACATAAACTATTATAAAATAGATTTCAACAGTACCATTATATCACAGGTACTAAATAGTTTCTTCGTTCATTTCATGTTATTGTATATTCCCAGTGTTACGAACTGCTGGAATTTCCCCTATCATGATTGGAGTGAGAGAGGGAACACCAAGCTCCTATTTGGTAGTTATCTGGGTCTAACAAGTTAATTAGGTACCACAGATCTGCAGCAACATTAATATTAGTCCAGAATGGCGGGGAAGACCAAGCATTATTCAATGCTGGGCAGCTGAACAGTGAGGATGTGGATATAGATGTTAGCCAATACAGTGGGACAGAAGTTCTGATGGTTAGGCCCCTAATGTTAGTTGGGACAATAGACAATTAGAGTATGGAGGCTAACTATATTTCATGCACATTTTTATAATATTTTACTCTTGTATTTAGTGTGGTGATCCTTTATTAAAAATTACTAATCCCCAGGCTCATCGACCTAAGTGCATAATTAATCATTTAGGCATATGTAACACTTCTTACAAAATAGTAACAAAATATGTGTAAATTGGGTGTCTATCGTTTTAGGTGTGTAAAATCGGCAGAGGCAAGTAATGAGAAAAAAATTTGCCTCATTGTTAAGGCATTAATAGAAGTATATCGTGATAAATTTGTGGCAAATATTATAGATAACTAAATAATAAACCTAAATTAATGGCTAAATATATAAATGTAGGCCAGAAATTAACTTTAAACAGCAGCGTTTGCAAATGCAAGTAAGATTTGCTATACAAACAGCATCCATCTGTAAATTAGAGTGGTTGCCCCTGAATATCTTAACTATAATTTTAACAAAAAAAACTGTAACAAGATGGCTGCTAAAGTAAATGAGCTTGGTTGCACCTGATGAAAACATCGCTAGTCTTTATTTATTACTGAAAAGTTTTAATACAATTGTTTAAAAACAGGAACATGAATTTGAATGAAACTGAAACATTTTTCTAACTTTCAAAAAATAAACAAACATTTGTAGGGTAAAGCAGGGCACTAAGAGGATGAGACCGGGATTAATCCCACTGCTCTTTCCCTAAAATTTCTTGTCTCTGTAAAACCATTTTGTGAACTTTTTTTCCAAGTAGACATAAGTTAGGAAAGTTCACTTTGTAATAAACCAAATGAGTTTTTCAAGCCCATTCTTTGTTCCTGTATTAAAGGATTGGTTGCTGTACATTTTAACACCATTTTTATATCTTTTTTTTCCACTGTGATTGTTGATGCCAAAACAAAAGGGCCGACATTTGTCAAGTTTTACCATGGGTTAAAGTTTTTATCATTATCAGTGTAAAACTTGACTGATCAATGTCATAATGGTTTTATTTGTTAATTAATAACTAAATCTACATGAATACATTAAGTCTGTCCACTAGCATGCATGTTCAGAAAAGTTATAAGAGATATTGTTAGGTAACTTTTGTTGCCCTTGGTGCAAGTTTCTCATTTATTAGCCCACTGAATAGGACACTGGTATAGGAAGAATAGTTAACACAAAATGTATTAATTATTAAACAGACTGGTCTAAGTGATAGAAATACAATTCAAACCTTCTAAAAAGCAAAAATTCAGACAACTGATGTTAGCCAGATAATTTTAAAATGGTACACAAACTTATTACCTGTAAGGGGCAATACAACCGACTCGGCCCCCATCTGTTTCTAACCAACCATAAAACTTCTAATCTCTTTGTAAGTAATAGGGATAACTGGGTGGTATGTTATGTAATTTATGACTCCCATGGTCCAGTAGGGTGGAAATTAGAGGAATCAGTACCACTGCCCTCCCCTCAACATTTATCACCTCTATGATACCCAGCCCCCATATTATCTAACCCACCATAAAACTTCATCTCTTTGTAGGTAACATGGACTTAGTCCTTAGATCTCAGCTAACCATAGTTAGCATCTCTTATAATATAATTTATGGCCCTCAGGGTTCAGCAAGGAGAACAATGCTCTCACCTCAACATTTCTCAACTCCATGTCATGTTATGTAATGTATAGCTACACACTAGGTATACTAATGTGAACTACTAGACTGTAGGCACTATGTAGACGTGCAATTGTATAAATTGTGGACAGAGTCCAATGGGGCCCAGTGATAGCTGGGCCCGGCTACATTTGCCCCAATTGCTGATTTTGGGGGTATGGCTATAAATGCTAAATTGAACCAATTTAAAGTAACTTTAATAGGCCTAGCCTTTATTATTATTTTTATAGCCTATTGTGTAAGATATGTTAGAATAATTTTGCAATTTGATTTTTAATTTCAAGATTAGAAAATACTTGGATCAGTAAAAATCTTTAAAAATGTACAGGTGCCAAAAAGTGTGGCTCTTAGTGCCCTTCTTTACCCTAATGAGTCACCTTTTTTTCAAATTACTAGTCTCGGCCAATTTTATTTTATGTACCAAAAACTAGGCCTGTAGACTGTAGATTACCCTAAATTGCATTGCTCACTCAATCAACATCTACCTCCTTATTCAGTCAAGATAATTACAATTATCAGTTCCAATCATTTAATTTGTAAGTCATTAGGCTTGTTTTTGTTTATTTTTTAAATAAAATTTAGAGTTGAAGTTAAGTCAACACAAAGAAAAATGCACATTCAGATATTAGTGTCATGAAATTACTACACAAACAAGAAAAAGCTATCTAACCCCTAAATTTACTATAAATATAGTAGATCTAGATTGTGGAATGCATAACCTGTCGGAATGCGGTAACTTGTATTCTATCTAGACTAGCTAATCTTCAGTTCAAACACAATGGACACCAGCGAGTTGACGAGATTCCTTCCGTAATATTGTTGACATGGAATAAAAATGTGCTTTTTTAGATTTAGGACCATAAAACTAATAAAAGATAAAATTTTATTAAAAACTAAAGCCTAAAATTAATTCAGAAATGTAATATTTTTAGAATCAATGCTATACAAGTTGCAGATCCAGAGAACTTGAAAATAATTTGTTGAGTTTAAGGCTACATTTCTATTTATTTTCATCAAGCCTAAGTTATAACCCGATGTTTCACTTTCGTAAGACAAACATTGATTGGCTGTAAAGGAACTCCGTGATCGATTTCTGACAGCCCCACTTTATAGTTATTTTGTTTACAAAACTTTGCAGATCAAATTTTTAAATAACTATGCAAATTTAAACACCATGACCTATTGTTTCTATTTTTAGCTTACAATGTGTACAATAAAACTTATGTCGGCCATTGTTTATGTCGCCATTACACGTGAAAACCAAATTGTTTTTTCTTTTTTTTTTTATTTTTATTTAGTTACCGAAAATATTAAAAACATCAAATACATCCAATCTTTAGTAAAGTCCGAAAAAAACCAGACAGACAGGATTTTATAACCATATTAATTGTAACTACGCCGTGCAAGATTTTAAAATGAATTTATACACCTCTCAAATACCTTTGAGACTTTTCTCGCTGGTGTCCATTCGTCAATTTCTGTTTCGAACAACACAAAATGAACGACTTAAGTTCAACATTTATGTCACTGCATACTACGATTTCATGAAACATATGAATAAATTTAGACACAATACAAACAAAACTTACCAAATATATAATTTTATATGCTCTGGGTGCACAAAAATTAAGAAATTTCAATACTTTTGAAGAATAGCGTTGTAAAAATTATTCATAAATGAGGAAGACGCCATTTTAGCTTTACAAGATTTCAATGATTTCTTCGGAAAAGAGCTCGCTATAGGATACTTGAACGAATCCTATCGTTGCCGGGTTTGGTCTTTTGATTTTGGTAAATATAATTATTATTCGGTTATCAATTATTTCATTGTAGAATCTCCTTAGATCAATGGATTTTGTATACTTTTTTATAATTATGTATTTCTAAAACTGAATTATCTTTTTTTCTGTATATAAGGGGGGAAAAAGTCAAAACTCAGCTATTATTTCCACGATATTACTCTTTCAGAAATCTGGTATAAAAATGGCGACTTACTGCTGAGAAAAGGAACCTGCAAGAAAGAATTTAGAGTTTATTGATACTGATTGATTTCCTAAAAAAGTGAAAATAATTACTAGATCTATCATTTTTTCATATTTTGAAACTTCAATATTCAAACTTGATTTTTATATTTAGTTCTAGTTTTACGAGCTCTAAGTTATTGATTTCTTTTGGTTCCCTGATGATTCGGTAGCCTGGCCAAGCTTAAAAAAGAAAAAAAAATTGTCCCTCTCCTTCTGCTTTACTTTAATATAGATCTAGATCTACTTTAGGGGCCTAAACAAATAAAATAAAGTGCTAGATTCTAGTCTAGACTAGCTCTAGTTACTATATTCATTAGGGTAACCAATGTTTGTAGTAGGCCTATAAGAATTATAAGATTTAGCCAAATTTTAGTTTAAAAATCATGCTCTTAAAAAAAATATTTTTGATATTTTCATTCAGGTTGGACATCAATGTAATAATTTGGATACAACCTAAAAATGGCATTATCTCACAGAGATCTTGAGGATATGAAGCCTCTATTGAATGACACGGTAAAGCAGCTTCTGGGATTTAGCGAGCCAACTGTTGTTGCTGCTGCTTTAAATTGTGTCAGCACTGGATATGACACTAACAAGACTGTTGGTAAATGAATGTTGTTTTTTTCCAGAAGTTAAATAGCTTTTTAAAAATGTATTAGTAGTTTCTTAAGTGAACAATTGCCTTTCTAATTTGTTTATGAACATTTTTTATAGAGCAACTTTCTCGCATACTTGACCGTGGTCAAGCTTCAGTTCTGGCAGAGAGAGTCCATCATTTATGTGAAGATTTCAGAAACAGCTCCAAAAAGAAACGCAGAAGGGTAACAGTTTTTTTTTTTTTTAAATAGTTTATCCCATGCTGAAAACTTACTATATTTAACGTTTTAGTTTTGATGTTTTAAATTATGTAAAAGAATATTTTTTGGACTGTTTTGGTTTTAAAAACAGGATGATGTTGACGACAATATGAAACGGAGAAAGTACATTGAAGATGAAATGGAAATGGCAGAGTTTGCTTCATTAGCCCAGGCAGCATCTAAGCCTAAAAACACACTGCCGAACCTGAACCCTCCAGGTACCATGTTAACACCAGACAAGGTAGGCTATTCACTTGCTTTCACTTCTCTTTTTATCATATTTACTGACCTATGAGGTAACTTGTAAGTTCTTATATATCTTATGAATAATACATTTTTTCTCAGATTAAAGAAATGATGGCAAATGCACAAAAGATGATACAGGAAAGAAAAGCTCAGCTACAAGCAACTATGCCTATCCCAGCCCATTCTCAGGTATGTTGTGTTTATACAATTAGAGTTTGGTTTTCCCTAAATGATGCTACACATATTTAGCAGATATTTACCCCAAATCATTATGCTCTTTTACTGCCACCCTGTAACTATTGTATGTGTGTCATATTTCTGTAACTCTCTCCTCTTCATTACACATTTTAAATCTAGCATCCACTATTGTTGATGATTCCTTTATTTATTTGATAAATATATAAATTATGTTTTTTTGCTTGTTTGTTTTTTTTTATTAGAGAAGCCTCATGCAGGGTACCCCTGCAGATGCAGCCATAAATAAGGTGAAGAGAGCTGCAGAACTGCAAGCCCAAATCCAGTCCAGGTTAAGCGGTGTGGCTGGCATGTTACCGCCACCTCTCATCCCAGGCTTACAGGGCTCGGCTCAACAGCAGCCCTCACATATACCTCCTTTGGCAGGGTAAGATGTGTTCCACTACACAGTTGTCTACGTTTAACATGTGTTCTCACTTCTTGATGTCAGTGACATCTAAACTGAGATCATTTTAGCTCATTTTTATTTTTTTTAGTATACGTAATTGGACATATTTTAGTGATGAACACACTTTCTTTTAAAAGTAATGAAGGTCCAATTATAATTTTAAATTAATGTTCGAACTCTGCCTATCTACAGCAATCAACTCATAAAAGCCAATTGTATTTTAAAACTTTCCAATGTCTTTCAGACCATCTCCTCTCATTCTAAACGAAGAAGGCAAAACTATTGACGCCAAGACTGGAGAAGCAATTCAACTGGCTTTGTATACTCCAACTCTTAAGGTAAACTATTTTTGCTTTTTATGAAACCATTAGTCATCACAGTAGTAAGCATGTTTTATTGTATATATTTCAGAATTATCTGTCATTTCCAAATTATGTAGAATAGAAGAATATTACAGTTTCGCCTTTCAAAAGTAAAGAAAATGTTTATTTTTTACCAAAGTCATACCTACACAGAGCGATGTGTTTTCTCATCCAGTCTTTTGTGTATATGTTTTAAATTTCATACAGTTTAATCTCCATTGTCTCTTTTAATTAGCGTTTTTACTATAAAATTCTTTTGTTGGGTAATTTAAGATTGAACTTAAGATATACAATTTCTGACTACCTCAAAGAACTTATTTTTTAAGTCATCTAGTAGTGTGCATGTTCCAAAAATAGACCACTGTTAACTTTTCCAATAATATATTTAGCTTTATATTGAAAAATTGTGTATTTTCAAACCCTTTGGTTTTTTATAAATTTAGTTCTTTTAATGTTAAGCTTGTTTATTCATTGCCAGGCCAATATCAGGGCAAAAAGAAGAGAACAGTTCAAGGGACTCATAGAGAAGCCACCAGATGAAATTAGTGAAAGCAAATTTTTTGACAACAGGCTTTCGTAAGTTATTTTGGTATATTTTTTTTATTTTTTGAAGTATCAGTTTCATTTCTTATAGCTCATTTCTTGAATTCTATAATAAGTCTCACTTTAAAATTTCCTTTGACAGTTTAAAAGGCATTCAAAGACCCAAGCGAGGGTTTAAGTTCCATGAAAAAGGAAAATTTGAACAGCAGGCATCAAGGCTTAGAGCTAAGGTGATTTATTATATTTGATCATTACATCTGGAACTCTTGTTTCGTTACATTTAACCCTGATCTAATATGGTCATGTCATAGATTTTCATTTCCTTGCATCTTGCTGCTCTAATAAATAGGCCCAGTTGGAGCGACTTCAGGCTGAAATTTCACAGGCTGCTAAGAAAACAGGCATTGCTTCTGCTGCTAAAATTGCCACTATTGCTCCTAAGAAAGAAATTGTAAGTAGAACATTCTTTAGTAAATAAAAGTGTAAAACTAACCAAGTAAACTATTTTACTTTTAAACACTTCTTTTTTTTTTTTTTTCAAATGTATATTTTTGTCACAGGTTTTTTTGGTTGGTTGTTTGTTTTACATACAGTTTGAAAAATGAGTAACCAAAAGTTTTTTCTTTTTCCATTTGGTAACATCAGAAAGAAGGCGAGGTGCCAGATATTGAGTGGTGGGATTCTTTTATCATCAGATCCAATTCGTAAGTCCTGTTGTGTATTCAAATAATTTTTAAGCAAAGTTCACCTCAATTATATTAGTATTGTTAGTTGCAGACATTTTTCTGTCATATGCTGAAGCTGTATTTATATTTGTATTTAAGCTGTATTAGTTAATCACATTCTGTAACTCAAAAATTTATTGAAATAACTTATGGTTGATATCTTCAGATACGAAGCATTTTCTAACACTGATCCTATAGATAAAGAAGTTTATAACGGCATCACAAATTTAGTAGAGCACCCTACACAGATAGCACCTCCAGGTATGTATGCTGTTTTATAGGTAGTAAGGATTGTTCTAGGTCTGGTGAAAAAAAAATAATTGAAAAATGTCCTAAGTTATAAAAGTACAAAATAACTTATATAACTAATTTTTTTTATGAAAGTGCTAAAATGTAATTAAAAGATGTAAACCCAATGTGTTTCAAAGTTTAAGTTAAAATTGACAATATGCCCACCCACTAACATTTTCATTCATAAAAAAGAAACCTCTAATATATTTTGCCATTGCACAAGAGAAATGCCGTTGAAGAATATTATTTTGTCTTGCATATGTTTGATATTTGTTTCATTTTTTTTATTCACAGTCGAACCTAAAGACGATGTTTCTATACCAGTATTCCTAACAAAGAAGGAAAGGAAAAAACTGCGCAGGCAGAATAGGCGGGAAGCTGAAAAAGAAATTCAAGAAAAAATTCGATTGGGTCTTGCCCCACCTTTAGAGCCTAAAGGTAAATTTTTTATGGATGATATACACATTTTTTTTAATTATGTTTAAAACACTACTTTTTATTTAAATCTATATAGTCCTGTTGCTAACTCTCGCTCATTTTGTCTCCAGTGAGGATGGCAAATCTGATGAGGGTGTTAGGTACAGAGGCTGTGCAAGATCCAACAAAAGTGGAGGCACACGTCAGAGCCCAAATGGCAAAGCGCCAGAGGCAGCACGAGGAAGCAAACGCTGCCAGAAAGCTGACTGTGGAGCAGAGGAGAGACAAGAAAATTACAAAAATTAAAGAGGATACCTCTGAAGGTGTTCATGTGTCTGTCTACAGGTATGGCAGAACCTTTTTTTTTTTAACCTATGAAGTTGTTTTAAGATCTAATGTATTGGACCCAAAAAATATCGGGCAATTAAGTTGTACAGGGAAATGTAAAAATGTTGATGTCCTTGTGATTCTGTTAGATGATGATTCATTGTATTTTTAGCAGTGTTGATTTATTCTTGCTTTGATTAATATTCACTTTTTATTTACAAATATTAACAAAATAATAAGTGCAATAGACTTTGTGTACAATATACAAAATAATGTAAGGTAAATTTTTAAAAATATAACATTATGATTTTTAACAACAATCCTTTTATGGTCACACAGAGTGCGGGACTTAACTGACCCAGCCATCAAGTTCAAGGTTGAAACCAATGCCAAGCAGTTATACATGACAGGCATAACTGTCATTTACAAGGACTGCAATGTTGTTGTTGTTGAGGGAGGTATGTTGTTAACTGGTTGTCGTAATGTTTTCTTTTAAAGTTTTTACACGATAAATATTTCATTTTGCATTGTGTTGATACATTTAAGTATTACTGTTAACATTATGCATCCAACATATTTAGCTCAAAATGTATTCAGTTTTTTACTAAGCAATATATTTTATTCATAAGTCATTTTAACTCTTCTAGGCCCTAAACAACAGAGAAAATTCAAGAGATTAATGTTAAATAGAATCAAGTGGGCAGAGTCACACAAAAGGGTTAAAGGTGTAGGTAAGTGAAAATTTTAAGGCAAAATATTTGACTTGGTTGTTGGGGGTAAGCAAATTCCAAATCTAATTCTTTATACATTTTTAAATTCTTAATTTGAACTGATAACTTGTAAATATGTCGAAGAAGGATTTTAAATTGCTAGATAAGCTAGGCTAGTAAATTAAAATATTGTTTGATGAAAATTAAATTTCCTTATTATTTTAGTTAATAAACTTTTCTCATTCTAGAAGAAAATGATGATGATGGTACAGTTGATAAAACTAACAGATGTGTTCTGGTGTGGGAGGTAGGTAATATTTTACTAACACAGTAATGACAGTTTGCTGATATTTAAGTAACAGTAGACATTCTGATTAGGTTTAGTGTTTTCTGTTAGGTCTTTTTTTTTTTTTGGCACAATATAATAGGCCTACTTCGGAATTTATTTTTTCAGGGTATGGTGAAAACTAGGTCATTTGACGAAATGAAGTTCAAAACTTGCCCAACTGAGTCCTTTGCTCGCGAGCAGTTGAAGAAACAAGGGGTGGAACATTACTGGGATCTGGCTTTTTCTGGTGCTGTATTAGAGCTAGCAGGAGACGAGAGCTAGTCTATATTGTTCTATTAAAATGTTTGCCCTGTTTTATTACCTGGCATGTCACTATGTTATGGACAGATTTTTTGTAGAATCAGCTGGTTCATGTCTTATGTTAGGCAAGCCATTTTTAATACTATAATAACAATTGCTATAACTAGGATTGTTATAGTCTAAACAATTTAGTGTAAATATTAAATAATGGCACCCCTCTCAACCTTTATGTTGGTATGGGTGATTCTATGCTGTGTTATTGACCTGGGTGCTCAAATTCCAACTTTACAATGTGGAATTTAAGATTTCCAGTTATAAAATGTCATTACTGCCAATAATATCCTAAAAAAACAATTGTCTTTTTTTATTGTCTAATTTTTTTTTATTAAATTAATGAAGATTGCTTTGAAAATGTCTATAATTCCATCATATTGTGACAAAACTGTCTTAGTTGGGAAACACTTTCTTATACTGAACATTAAAAGTTGAGCTACAATTTATTTTGAATGTCACAATCAGAATATTTGGTCTGATACCAGATCTAGTAAGTTTGAGTAAATTTAATAAACAATTTTTTAAAATGCAAGTTCAATTATGATGAACTTTCCTCAAAATTAATCTCTAATTACAGTTTTAAGATTCTTGATGGTTATTTCTGTCTAGACTAGATATGGGTCAGTTGTTTCTTTAAATTTGTAATTATATAAATTCATTACACACAAGGAAATAATCTAGGACCAACATATTTAAAAAGTGTAGTAACACATTAAAACATCTCAGTTTGAAGGTAGAAAATTTAAAAGATCACTTCTTATATGGAGGATATGTTTCTTTTTGTATATATTACTATGATAAAATAAAAATTTGAATAAAAACAATCTTAACACTTTGTGTTGATTTGTAAACGCTGTTAAAGGTTTGTATTATATGTAGTTGTCCCCCTTAGTTCAATTGTTGCTGCAGATTCAAGAATTGTAAGAAGTAAATAAAAAATTAAATGCATGATTGATATCCTTGACAGAAGTTGACATAATACACTCATACCACAACTGATTAACAAATTAAAGTTCGGAACGGAAGGATTTTATGAAATTAAATTACTCAAAATTGATTATAAAATAGTTTCCCATTATGATCTATGAACTGGTGAAGTAGGGTTCACGTGTTTCAGTGACCTCGAATTATGAAGGGATAGTGTGGTCAGTACTATACCTTTACTTTCGCCACCATAAGGCTAATACCCGTCAGATCTGAGTTAAATCTGTGACATCTAATGGATTTGAGCCCAGTGTTTCTTCCAGGGTAGCTATGCGTTTATTTGTATTTTATGAGTCTTGACACATTTAATTAAAGGAAGACAACCCCGCTCCTCCATCAAATCTGACAATAATTAAGATAAAGTTTTAACAAAATTTAATTATCTGTCAATATTTGTAATAATAATGCTCAATTAAATTATCTGGAAATTTAAATATATGTATGTTTCACTTACTGCATACTCACGGCTTAAAACAAATTACCTTAAACAAGTTAAAAGTTTTTGTGAAACCGGTCTTTTATTACATTGCAACTCTTTAATAAAGACAATATGCCCTTACATATGTATTACGACTGGGCTATTGTTCATGAGGATTTAGATTACAGATCAATGAAATATATTAGGTACACAGTCGATGTAAATTTAAGAAAAAGTGAGTTAACATACGTCGTGATAGAGCAAAAACAGTGGGTAAATATTGAAATATTCAATTTGAATCATGTGGAAAATTAATGTGATTAGAATGTTTATAACTGCGGTCAACGCTGTTACAATTAGCCCATCATACAGAGACATAGCGAGGGGTGCGGACCGTACAGGGTGACACCATTTACGTCAAAAAAATTGCAAAATGTACAGAAGAAAAATGCTTTTTTGCCAGTTCCATTAATGATTAATTAAAGTTAAAAAGTCTTTTAAGTCGAAAATGGACAATTATTACCAGGGGGTGGGGTGACACCATGACGTAAACGTGCTGTTGAAAAAAAACAATGACTACATCTGTATTAACTGTATTATTAACAGAATATAGATAAACATCGACCTACGACGCCATGGAGCGGCCTACATATTTTTAGCGCAATTTCCATTCTGGAGAATTGCGATTAACTCGTCATTTCTGGGAATGTATGAATGGATGGATGGATGTATGTGTGTCCGCAGCTTTAAGTCGTCTTTAAGTCGTATCTCCTCCTCAACGAAGCAATATCGAGGACTAGTTCCAAAAGCAAATATGTTAAGCAAGTTCCGAGGATGAACATAGGCCAAAAAAAAATTCCCGGAATTCCTTCCTGGATTTCCCGGAAAAACCAAAAAACCTTTTTTAAAAATGCAGTTTTTTGCCCATATCTCGGTAACCATACCACTTAGCGACTTGAAACATTTACCAATCGATTCCTGCCATAATTTAGAACAATATTGCCGAAGAAAGTTTTCAAAAATATCCTTTCGTTCGGCCACAAAAAAATAATTAAAAATTTTTAAACTGAGCACCGTGTAGGCCTAGGATGATTTGGCGCAAAGCGCTGAGGTTCGAAAGGATTTTACCATAGCGAATGAGAGGAGGTTCGAAAGGATTTTTTTCTATTTTGTTTTGAATTATTGAAACTACTTGTGTTGCATTATTTATTTGCTGAATATATGATTTATCTCGATTTAAAATTGTTATGGATAACATAAGGAAATTGCGCTTACATTGTCACCAGACTTTTTATTAACTTGTTTTAGTGGACAAACGTTATTACTACATTTGTGTTCTATACAGTCGACTTATAAAAAAATACAAGCCTCCTCCCATCTCGTCTCACACAACCTTCTTTCTGTTAGGGGGTCGTCCATAAATGACGTCACACTCGTAGGGGGGAGGGGGATGGTCCGTAATTTTGTGACGGTGTGTGATGAGGGGGAGGGGGTGTTCAGATGGTGCAACGTCACACTTTTGCATTATAAAAAAGCAATGTTAGAAAACGAATTTTAGACGTTCTTTCGCGTTTTAGATAACTGTTTTAATAAATTGTAATTTGAATTGATTAAAATAATCTATTTTGACAGAGTTCAGATAAGATTTTAGAAAAATATCGATGTTTTATAAAAAAATGCAACTGCAATTTTGAGGGGGGGGGGGGCGTTGTAGGCTGAGGTGTGACGTCATTTTAGGGTGGGTCTGGCTTTTTGTGACGTGTGACGGAGGGGAGGGGAGGGTAAAATCGTCAAAAAAGCGTGACGTTATTTATGGATGACCCCTTGGAGAATCACTCTCACCACAAACAGACCACTTGCTTGTAACCTTATCCACACACGTAGATAGTGAATAATGGGTTCGGAAAAATGTTTGGCTAGAGGTAACTGTATAGATATACCAGCCGTGCCGGCCAGGCGTTGCACTGGCCTCTGTGAAAAAAACTATCTGTAAAGGACCATGACTTGTGTGTTTAGTAATCAGCAAATATCCGGTATTGTCCAGGTTTAGGAAATATATTACTTTTCGAGTTAACTCTAATCACAATCAACCAAAACCAAAACACTCTAAAAAACGCAAACATAAAACAAACACAAATACAAACACAAACGAAAACGCAAACACAAACGCAATCACAAACACAAACACAAACACAAACAAACGCAAACAAAAAAGCAAACGAAAACAAACCCAAATCCAAACGCTAACACAAACCCAACCACAAACGCAAACCCAAGCACAAAGAAAACACATACGCAAAGTGCTCACAGTCTAGCCCGAGGCGCCAAATCGCACTATGCCGGGGCGCTGGCGGAGCCGCCTGATTCTACTTAGTAAACGACTATAGTACCCCAACTTATTCATAGTCTTTTGCAATCACTTAAACGAACGTAGGCGCCATTGCTAACACGGGAAAACCCGGGGCGCCAAATAACACCCTGTCGGGGCGTCGGAGGACGCCCTGATTCGATTCAGGTTAAGACTATAGTAACTTTTCTTATCCATAGTCTATCGCACTCTTTATTTGGTTTTATAATACTTTCAATATTATTTTTTTAATATAATTAATTTAGATGAAGAGCACTTAAGATATATGACGATGAAGTCTATTTTTTTTTCTCCTTCTATTCCTTTGTAATTACGGATCCGCCGTCCACCCGCCACATACAGAATTCAACTTTATACATTAAAAGTTAGTTAGGGTTCGATAGCTGGGGACAACAAATCCTCAGTGTGAGAAAACTCCAAGATCAAATCACTGCTGCCTTGCAATTTGTTACTTGATGGACACAGGCTATGGGGGCAAATTGAAAATGCCCCCCTCCTTCCCATTTAGTAATTAATTTTGACAAAAAATACAAAGGCGTAGCGAAGGGGGGGGGGGTACATATGTTCCAGGGCGCCGACTATAGGGGCGCCAAAATAAGCACATATACAATTTGGAAACGTCGGATCGCTTTTAACCAGACTATGTCACACAACTGATGTAGAAAACAGTAAAATATGTTAGTAGAGCCGAGTAGCACTAATTTATTTTCTTAACCTCGAGTGTTTAAAAAAACAGTACCCCCCCCCCCCCCCACACACACACGCGCCTTTAAATACGCCATTGGCGTTCGAGGAAGTCAAAGGCGCTGGGAAGATGATCTTATTTTCGCTTACATCACCCCCTCACCCCCCCCCCCCCCCCCCCACACACACACACCGCTCCTGCATGTACAATTTCTACTCTCGACTTACTTCAAAACAAAAATTGTCAATATAATCATGTCTTTCTTTCTTTCTTTCTTCAATAAAAAAAATGCAGTTCTGTCACCCGTCAATATTATCTCCTAACCCATTCTGACATAATTAAATTATCGTTTAAATATTCATGCAAGTGAATCATCTGAACTGAGTTGCAGTGTTCGTCTCAGGCATTTCTCCGATTGGTGCTGGGTGGGGGGGGGGTTGTCTGTAGCACGTCCACCGCCCAGTGTTTCTTCCAGACTTTTTTCTCCGGGGGGGGGGGGGCACTTGAAATTTTCGGGGGGGGGGGGGGCGGTAGACTTTCTTCGGGGGGGGGGGGGGCGGGACACTGTTAAAAGTATATATTTTCTATATAAATTATATGAATTTCATTTCGTTCGGGGGGCGGTAAAAATTTTTCGGAAGAGAATGCCTGGAAGAAACTCTGCCACCGCCCCTCGCCCTTTTATATTATTGATATATTCAATTAATTTTTCAACTCCACCCTGAAAGAAACCTATCATAATCAGAGTTTCTTCCAGTGTACCCCCCCGAAAATTTCAAGTGCCCCCCCCCCCCCCCCCCCGGAGAAAAAAGTCTGGAAGAAACACTGATCATAATGAACTAATAGTAATTAGTATAGGCAGTATTCTAGTTGATTATTTATAGTATTTTATAGTATAGTAAACTATTACTTGATTTTTCAAAAACAATAATAATCATATTATTAGTTATAATGGCAAATCAAATAATTTAAGAAAGATTCATTAAGACAGTTGCATCATAATTTACATTTTACAAATAATATAGCTACCTTACAATATAATGCCTACAAGAATTACCCGATAGGCCTACCTGCTATTCAACAATTTCTTTTTTTATATTGTACCAGAAATATTTGGATAACTGAAAGAAATAATTTTCGAAGTTATTTTCCTTATCTTAAGCGATTGTTTTGTTTATATCAACAACTAAGCGGATAGTGAGATACAGAATCTAGCAGACGACTAAATTCTACTTTTTTTTGTTTTGTTTGGTAAGTAAACTATTCTTATAGATCTACAAATTATTAATTTAACTAACATTAACCTAAATCATTTTATAATGTATTGACTGCATTGTTCACCACCACAGGAGAGGTAGAT